GGAGATAAGACGCCGACGTGAGAAGGGACTATGTTTCAAGTGCGACGAGAAATTTATGCCGGGTCATCAATGGAAGCAGGCTTTTGTCATCAACGTCATAGACCCGAATGAGGAAGAGCCTGAGGTCGAGAAGGATTGGGAGCAAGAAGTCGAGATTGAGGTTCCGAAAGTGGAGGCCGAAATCTCGATGCATGCGATGGCTGGTACAAGAGGACCGACGACGATGCGGCTGCCGGCGTTGGTCAAGGACCGTCGTGTAGTCGTGCTAGTAGACAACGGATCGTCGCACAACTTCATCAACGCCGATCTATCTCGAAAGTTTAAGTTGCCAACGACGAAGGTCAAACCATTTGAGGTCCAAGTAGCCAATGGAGAACAACTAAAGTGCTCGGAGGCTTACCGTGTGATACCGATTAAATTTCAAGGAGTCACCATCAAAGCCGATCTCTATGCGCTACCCTTGGTGGGACCCGATGTTGTGTTAGGAGTACAATGGCTCGAAGGTTTAGGAAAGGTGACCACCGACTACCGGATGGGAGTAATGGAGTTCGACTCAGGAGAGCACCGGGTCACGTTAAAAGCAAGCAAAGACAGCAGAGCCAAGGAGTTTGGTCTCAAGAGTATTGAGCAGGTTTGGCATGGGGGCGGTTAGATCTTTACCGTCGAGGAAGTAGGCGCATACGCGAGTATGGTTGAGCATGTCCCGACGGAATATGATGGCCCACCTATCTTGGACGTGTACCCCGAGGATGAACTCATGGACGACGAAGTAGTCAAGGAAGTTGAGATCAAAGAAACTGAGGTCGAAGGCGAGGTGCTCGAGGATTGGACGATCGAGCTGCAGCAATCCGAGATACACGATTTGGTTAGAGCATCCAACCACGTACTAGGCGAGTCCGACAAAGAAGAAGGCCGAGTCGACGGGAAGCGTAAGGAGCCTATCTTTCCATTCTCGAAATATTTTAAAGACCCAAAGGCCATCGAGTACGTGAATAAGTCAACAGATTATGAAGGACCGCCTATTTTCGATGTATACCCCGATGAGTATTTT